TTGCCCAACCTGCAACATATTTTTGTTACCCGTTTTATTCTTGATAGTGTGAGTGTTGCCTTATTTCTCAGGATCTCAGTGCACACTAACAATAAAATGTGCATATACACAGTAGGCATTATAGGAGTATGTGCTCATATAAATTGCTTAAACTGTATATCTGTAAATAATATTGTTTTCCTATGTGTGTAAAACACAGAGGAACCAATTTCACAATCTTGTTGAATTAAAAGACCAAAAACACAGAGCATGCCAAACAATACCCTACCTCAGGGACTTGCCGTCTAGTTTTGTTTCTCTAAATCTGCTTTTAGTTGGTTAGGCAGCCTAATGATTTTGAATTGTTCTTCGGTGAGACGCATGTCCTTGAATGTAATCGGTTTCCAAATGTTGTTTATTAGAGTGTTACATCAATGACAAAGCACTTTTTGATTTCGAAATTAACAGCTCAATTAATTCTTTGTAATAAAAGTAATTCACAGAGACACAGTAGCTGATTTTGTGGCTTATTTTGAATGATTTTGGATCCAGACTGGTTTTCATGCGTGTTAAATAGTAAAAGGCTATTCCTAATGGATCTTGTGTGCAGTTTGTTATCTTTATAATTTATAAACGTGGTACGTAACACAGCTCCTACGGCTTTAGGGACTCTTGTACAACTTGCAACATCTCGTTTTCAATTTTGAAATTTGTATGAATCCCAAGTCACAAAGACTCCATTTCCAATAATAAGTGGTTGCCCAAACTAGCATTGTGTTGTAGTTTCAAGTCACCAGACTAACACCAGTGCTTTGAGACCTTTTGGATTATCACATGAACTACTAAAACTCTGGTCACAAGCTGCTGTGGTAAGTATCTAGGTGAAATGGCCATAAAATTAGTTCATTGATTCATAAATGGGCTTTTAAAGGACAATCTGATAACCTCTAGATATTTATGTTCTTGCAAATTCTGCAAAAGGAACATTGATTTTCCACCGTACACATCAATTTTGCCCATTTATAATTCAACGCTTTTTTGTAGAGAAAGCTGTAATATTTTAGTCCTATACTAGGGTTGTATTGATTTCAGCCTCTCGAACCTTGTACGATGCTCATTTACTCCCGTCTCTACTGGTTTGTGTAGCAACCATCTCCACTGGTCACGGAGAACAAAAAGTATTTAACGTTTCCATTAAAATATGATTACATTTTAAATATATATTTTTATTAAGTATTAAATATAATCAAATTATAGAACAGAACAGCACTAAAAGAGACCCCTATGAACCAGTAGATACATGTGTAAGCACCGTGTATGAGAATAGGGATATGCTACAATGCTGCTGTCTGTGATTATTCCTTTACCTATTTGGAAATGAGCATTACTGTATATATTAGATGATTCCTTCTGTCCTGTGACAGCAATCAAAGGTCACGACACTGGCATGAGCTAGACAGTAACACTGATTGAGGCTGAGCTCTGAGTCACAGCGTGCCCTGTGGGGAAGAATAACACCTGCTCTGCCCTGGCACTTAGCCGAGAGGTGAGAGGTTGATCATGACTGGCAGATCCAAATACAGATTACCTCCTGTTATACAGACGTGCACTTACTTTACATGCACTCTCCTTGTTCACTCTCCATTCACTATTAAATGATTAGTGATATTTAATATTTTAAAATAAACATTTTAAAATAAACAAAAAAGTCAAAAATGTTAAAGTTTACATTTAAAATAATTCAAGTATTAATGATATGTAATATATGAATCCATTATATTAAAATATATTCATTAAAATTATTTAAAATATTAATTCTATTTTGAATAACATTTGTATTAAATATTTAAAATTGTTAGTTACCTCATATGATACAGACATGGCCTTCACTCCTTTTGTGCTACTTCTCATTCGCCATTCACTATTAAATAATTAATAATATTTAATATTTTAAATTGCACACCATTTAATTAGAATTCAATACGAATTAAAATATTAATGAAACATTTAAAATATTAAATGTATTTTGGATACATCTTAATTTTAATTAATTAAAAAATATATTTTTTGACTTTCAGATTTAAAATTTTAATTCCTGACTATGCATTATTAAAAGGATTAAAACTATTGTCTCTTTCATTTTCATTACATTAAACAAAAATGGTAAGGCTAAAAATGGTGAATTAATAAATAATACGCAAATCTAATTTGAGAGATTTTCAAAACGAATAATCTCTGGGACTCTTATGCGAATAGATCATATCCTCAAGTCTTCCATCTTTTGTGTGACTGGTGCAATCAAGCTCTTGAAATCTTGAGCCGTGATGAAAGACTGAGCTGCTACGCCCCATTTCTCCTGAACAACCGTCTTTATCTCTAACTGGCCCTCCTCATGCAGAATGAAATGAGCAGTGAGAAGGTTTTGCATATTGTAATAGGATGAGAGACAAACACTGGCCAAAATCTTTCATTTTCTAGCAATTGAAGAGAATTGCTTCAGAATTGACAATCCCAAAAGTTTCACATCTGAATCAATTAACCAGTCTGCACTAGTCAGCAATGATGAAAGTGTTAATTGTAATTTGTAATCTGTAAAAGAAGTCGCTACTCACTCATTTCACTTTTATCTCTGCTTCCCCACAGCTCCTGCCATATCTACAGTCCAACCTGACTGGATTTAAGGAGCTGGAGATTCTGAACTTCAAGAACGGCAGTGTGGTGGTAAACAGCAAGATGAAATTAAACAAACCAGTTCCATACAATGTTACGGAGACCGTTCAGTGTGTGCTCAAGGACTTCTGCAATGCGGCGTCTAAGAGATTGGACTTGGAAATCGACTCCCAGTCAGTGGATGTGGAACCAGGTAAGCACGGCGTTGAAAGAAGAAATCGGGTAGTTACTTCAAAGAAATGTTCGCTCAGAAATGCTGTCATCATTTACTCACCATCATGTTGTTCCAAACCTGTATGACTTTCTGAAGATATTAAAGAAAAAAAAAAGTCTCATCCATACAATGGAAGTCAATGGGGACCAAACGGTCTTCAAAATATCATCTTTTGTGTTCCGCTGAAAAAAAACGGAGAAAAAAAGTCATACAGGTTTAGAAGGACATGAGGGTGAGTAAATGACAGAATTTTCATATTTGAGTGAAGTAGACCTATCCCTTTATAACCTTCATAATGGATTCAAAATTTGTATACGATTTTCACATTCCAGGTCCATTTGGACCCGAAGAATCGTCGTTTTATAAAACCGTCATAACTTAATATTTTTCAGTTAAAACCATATGGTATTCTGATCAGCAACCTCTCATAAATATTTAAAATGACACACGAACCACAACAACAAATATTATGATGCAAAATATATATTTCAATACTGATGAGAAATCTTATTTCTTCTTATTTCTAACAAATCAACTAACATATTTTGTTTTTAAATAAAATACATCGCATTTCAGATTAAAAAGTTTTAAATTTTTCAT